CCCAGCAGAGCCTCTGCCTGCAGGGATGGACGTTTTGCTCCTGGCAAGCACAGCGTGGAACAGCCCTACGTAGAGGGGGACCAGCGTATTCTGGCTTGCAGCCCTGGTACCAGTTTTAGTGAGGAGGAGAGCCCCTGTGAGTTCTTTTCTCCAGCTGAAATACTTGTGGGCAGCTGCCTGAACTGTCTCTGACTTTCCCTGGAATAATACCTGCATTACCTTGCAGTTTACTTTTTTCATCTTGCTGATGCTGGACTTGCTGGAATCCTGCACTTAGAAGTTCTTGATTTTTGCCCTGTGCGCGTGTGTGCGATGTGTCAGGAGATCCAATGTCTGTAGCATTTCAGGAGTCTGAGTTCATCTCTGTGCTGGTGTAGAGTCCTGTCTACTGTGGCCCTTTCCAATCTCCCCCAGAAAGGACCAATCTCTTTGAACATTTCTGTTGCCTTTGAGGTGGTAGGTTTTCCAGGAAAGAAAAATATAAATCCCACAATGAATTTTAAGGTGTGATTTTTTTTTTTTCTGGTCAGACATTTTCTGGGAATGATGCTACTTTGGTGTACGTAGCTGTAAAGCAGCTTTGCGTAGATGGGGTGTGTGATTCATTGCTTTTAATTTAACTGTCCTTGCAGTGAAGCACTTGTAGTGTCTGGAAGGAATTGGATGATTAACTGGGTGAGGGTTTTTCCTATGTGAAGAGCAGTGTTTAAAGTACTCTAAGTATTGGTAGGTATTGACTGACCTCAGCTCTTGAGTTGTTGCTGTCCCTGGTGGGCTGAGTCAGGGGTGAAAGCACTTTGGCCCAGAAATTAATGTGTTGAATGTCATTGTGTCAGCAGCATTAAGCTGGCTGCCTGTGGGCCTGTCAGCTAGCAGAAGCAGATCCGAGAGCTCCTGCCCTGCTGAGTGCCAGCCCACATTGGGACCTGCAGAGCTCCCCTGGGTATGGGACGTGAGGTCTGTCACCTACAGCGGTACCGGGACAGGGAGATGCTGGTTATCGCATGCATTTTTCTAGGACTGTGGACTGCTCTGTCATCTTTCAAGCATATCTCTGTCAGAATTATGCTTTGGATTTGCAACTAAAGATAAAGAGTTAGGCCAGGATTAATCTTTAGAGAGGAGCTACAACCTGTTCCCACAGCATGGTAGAGCTGTTCCACCAGAGTTTGGCAGGGGTTTTGTTCAGCTGCTTTAATAGGAGCTAAATAAATCTTCAAGATGCAAACTCCTGCTACCAGGTTTTTCTCTCCAGATGCTCATTGCCCAGGCTTGAGCACTGAGCTGGGAAAAAAAAAAAAAACCAACCCAAAGCTGCTTTTTTTTTTTTTTTATTTTCCTCATGGCAAGAGTTGAAGATGCTGATCTCTGTCCTGTCACTGGATCCAGCCCCTGGCTTCCCCCTGCAGGCTGTGGGGTACAGGGAGGTTTAGAAGCTTCTTGGAGCAGAAGCATTTTATCATTATCCCTCACCCTCTGCCTTCAAAGCCTTTTTCTATCAAGCTGAAGCTCACTCGGGTGTCTCAGCGATCTATTGGTGGCTTGGCATAAAATTCCTGTCTGCTTGAGTTGCAGAAGCATTGAGGCTTTCCACTCAGATGCTCGTTGGGTTTCTTGGTCTGTACTGCTGACACAGCTTCCTCCCAATAGGTGTAGCACTGACCTACATAGTCCTAGCTAGGTGACAGCCAGATGTGAAAACGCGCAGGCTGCCTTTGAGAGAGGGATCTGCTTTAGGGGGAGAAAGGAATGAAAGATGGAGCCTCAGGAGGAAGCCAGGGAAGGCTGGCACTGCTTCGGTGGGATGCCACGGCAGGTACCCGGCCCTCCTCCCTGGGAGGAGGCAGTCCAAGGGGCTGTGTCCCCTCAGAGTGTGTGCGTGTGAATGGGGAACGCGTTGGCGCTCAGCTATATCTTGGTGGCATTTGGGTTTCGTAGCTGATCTGACACGAAATGTCACTGCCAGTGGAAGAATAGCTGTCCTTCCTCTGCTGCCAATGTCTGCAGGGGGAGCAACGAGGGAGAGAGAAATTTCTTTGCACTTCCACCTATTCATTAAACACAAGGAGGGTAACTGGTTTTTAAATCACTGGCCAAAGCACAAGTCAGCTCCGATTTTAGTTGTATTCCTAATTTGAGCCTCGCTGGTCTCCAGCCTCCTAACGACACAGCCTGAGCACCGCGTCGCACCCGGGTTGTCTTTCCAGAGCGTTCAGTACTCTTCCTCCTGCTGTGCCGGATCTGTAACCACGTGCCTCCCTTCGGGTTCGATGTCAACTGTTGTATCCCGTCACGCACCGTTGCTGAGCAGATGTGTGCTTGATACCGATGATTAATAAACAATGCTTCAGTACGAAGCAGCTGTCCAGCATGCTTTTCTTGTGGGACTACTGGTGAAATGCCACGTAGCTGAGCAAGTGCTCTGTCACCCTGTCCTGGGGACACACACACAGGGCTGTGACCCAGCCATGGCAGCGCCGGCATCTTGTGCTTGACACCTGCCGCTATGGGGGCTCGCTCACCCCTGAAAATCCTGGTTGGTGGGAGCGCCGGGATGATCTTTGCCTGGCCAGAGCCTGACGTGTCCCCTCCCTGTCACTTGGGGCCGTGCCTCCTTCCGCAGCACCGCTTACTCACGCCACGCACAGTCGCTTTCCACGCTCTGGCGTAACGGTTTCCGAAGTGATATCATTTGGAGGGAAAATCGCCTGCGGCCGCTCCCCAGGGGATATGCTGTGAATTGTGCAACTTTTGGCAGGCCTCGGCTGTGCGCGCCTCCCCAGCCCCGAGGTGACGCACGGGGTGAGGCGGCGCCGGCGGGGTGACCAGATTTTTGGCCCGCACTGATTTTTACCACGTGCTCCCCTAAAATTAGGGGGCGAGGGATCTCTGCAGCCCTGCGTCCTGCGGCTGACCCCGGCGAGGCTCCTGGGGCCCGGCCGGCTGAGAGGACTGCCCTATGCGGGGCTCCTCCTTTGCAGAGACCTCACCTGCCCTTTTTGGGGTTGTTTTTTGGGTGGGTTTGGGTTGTTCTTAATTTTTTTTTTTTTTTTATCTGCATACCTCTCCCCTCTTGCTGCAGGATGGGGGCTGCTTCCCCGGG